ATCACTACAGTACTACAGTACTACAGTACTACAATACTACAGTACTACAGTGCTACAATACTACAGTACTACAATACTACAGTACTACAGTACTACAATACTACAGTGCTACAATACTACAGTACTACAGTACTACAGTACCACAGTACTACAGTACTACAGTACTACAGTACTACAGTACTACAATACATACACTACTTAATATTATGTGATGTTCATCACGTATTTGGTGAGAGTATATCATGAAGTACTGTGCCGAGATGTTTGATTTCTGAACCGCCGTATGCAACTAGAATTATCTTTGATTAGTTCAGTGTTCCTTGTTTTGGTTTACCGTTTGCATCAATATTCTGTGGGTACATATGTTGGTAGATTCGAAGAGGTAACACGTTTCCCTGTGCACCTGTRTCGATTTTTGCTTTCAGAGTTGTCCTGTCTTTCTCTCTTCCGGATATGTCAATATTGACRGTGGCAARCACTTCTTCTTTACGGACTGCATTGTTTTCTTGACCTATGTTTCCAATGCAGATGGATTCAAACGAGAATGTTTCGAAGTCTTCTCCCAGTGATTGGGAATTGTTCTGGATGTCGTGAATGTTTTGTCGTGATCGCATTCTTTTCCTGCATACTTGAATGTAGTGTCCTTTTTTCTTGCAGTAGTTGCAGGTTTGTCCCTTGGCTGGACATGTAACAGATTTGTTGTGTTGGCGACCACAGTTCTCGCAACTCGCTTGACTTTGTTTTTGACGTTGGGCACCCTGTGAAGGTTTTGAAGCTTGTCGTTGGGTTCCCTGTGTCGGTCCGGCATGTTTTTGTTGCTGATTTCTCTTGGATTGAGAAATAAAGTGTACTGCTCCCTCGTTTATGGGAGAGTTCATGACGTCTAGCTGCGCTTGGGATGTTTCGTGTGATCTAGCGATGGTGATTGCTTTTTCTAAGGTGAGTTTTGCTCCTTCATCGAAGAGTTTCTCTCTGATTTTCCTTGAATTCGTGCCGAATACGAGTCTGTCGCGAATCATCTCATCTTTATTYGTAAATTCACAATCTTGAGCGAGGATCTGATGCTCGGTAGTAAATTGTTCAACAGATTCATCGGGTCCTTGAATTTTCTGGTGAAATTTGTATCTAGCGAATACAGGGTTGGACTTTGGACTGACATGTTCTTCGAACTTAGTATAATAAGTTTTCAGTTTTACCTTGTCATCTTGTGTTAGACCTTGCCATGTGTTGAATATGTCTCGGCCTTTCTGACCACTCCATATTAGTAAATAACTGCACTTCTCTGCTTCTGAACGGCTTTTGAGAGGACCTGTAAACATGAGCTCGGCATGTTGTTTGAATCGCCTCCAATTTTCGCGAAGATTGTCCCCGATCCATGGCATTTTCGGAACGTCAACGCCACTGAGAGCCATCCTTTTACTCCTGGTACCATGTAATAGTCTCGAGTGGGTTACTGTACGCTTTAATTCCTGACACTAACACCGATGTACATTGCTGCGGATGCCACGAGGCTTACACACTTATCCGCATGTTCACGATTTACACAAATTACAATACGAACGATTTGCATATCATTACAGATATTAGCAATCTTTTTGACTAATAATTTAACATTATTGTCAATTGGGATTTTACTGCCATTATTAAGTTATACTTTGTTTCCTGTGCATATATGCAACTCAAATTTGTTTCAAAATAACTTGAAAGTAGCAACTCAGTATACTCTATCCATTACACAAGAGAGAGTTAGTCACAGCCTGACAAAAGATCATGTAAATGCTAATTTGCACAGTGTATTTTTTCCATACCAGTTGGCATAAGTGAACATGATCTGTTTAAGTTGATCTATTTGATTAGTTGTATATAGCTCAGATCTTGTTGTAGGAGCCCCAAACGTTATTACGTACATGTAACTGTGTGTCAAATTGCATTGCAATTGCATTTTAAAGGCACATTTATATTTTGTATTTTTTATGGGCCTTAAAAAAGATGTGCATCCCACAACTACTAGGCTAGTTACCTCTACCAGCAAAATATCACCTCCTGTTATATGCCAAATCTATTTTTCTATACTCTAATTTTATGCAGATGGAAAAGTAAAAGAACAGGTTCTAACTCCAGATGGAAAAGTACAAGAAGAGCAACAAATGAGCTTTGGTGACCTACTAAAGTTCATTACAGGAGCAGATGCAGTCCCACCGTTAGGTTTTCAATACCCACTGACCATCCAATTCTATGACCAAGAGAAGGGCAGCACACGACTTCCTTATGCATCTACATGTGGTCTTGAANGACTTCCTTGACTGTAGAATAATCTGACAGAGCATATTTGTAAAACCCTTCTGTCCATAGCTGAAGAGGAGAAAAACCTTTCTGCCCAGAGATGGGATGATTGTTCCATTGCAAAATAAATTGAGCAATAGCTCTGTTGATCATGGGCAAAAACACATAATGCAAAGCAAATAGATCTATTTCACTATCTGGATCTAGGTAATTCACTGACTACAGGTAATAAAATATATTTTNATTCCTTGGGCTTGTTGCGCGAGCGCGTGTCTCGTGACCTTTGGGGGCGTTGCTGCTTGACAAAATGAACTTCTTCGGGTTTCCCTTCTTGTTTGATTATTTTCATTTGATGGGTTGCTATTTCGCTCGATCTGCACATATTGATCGCTTTGTCAAGGGTGAGCTTTTCCTCTTTAAGAAGACGTAATTTGGTGCTTTCCTCGCGTAGACCAAGAACTAATCTGTCTCGAATCAACTCGTCGGTCAATGTTCCGAACTCACATGTTGATGCGTGTTTTCGTAGGCGATTAACGTATCCATCTACAGATTCTTCACTGTTTTGCGCACAAGTATTAAAAAGATATCGTTCGTACACAACGTTCCTTTTGGGTTTGTAATAAGCTTCAAGAGCTTTTAAGCATGAATCGACACTGTTTCTTTCTTCGTCTGTCAATTTTAGATTTAGAAAGATTGTAAGGCAATCTTTCCCCATCACCGATCTTAACGTAGCTAATCGTACCTTTTGCGCTTGACTTTCTAGTCCAGTGGCGACTTCGTAATCTGTCCACTGTTGCTTGAAGAAGTCCCAATTGTTAACAACATCTCCTTTGATGTTCATTGGGGACGGGATAGGAAAATTTGACGTAAAAGCAATGGATCGCGATCCTGACGATCCTGACGAACCTGTCTCGGGCATATCTGTGATTTTGAGTTGTTTCTTTGCAGTATATAAGGTTCTTTAGTTAACTTCTGACACCATGTTTCAAGAAGTGTTCACGCGTTCATGCACTGTAAGATATGCTGCTTTATTCAAGCATGTAACCTATACTTAATTACACAATCGTGACGTCATTAAGACAATATTGTAACATTTTTTTTTTAAATATAAGTAGGGTGTAGTAGAGTATAACCTGAGTATCTGGCTCTCTCGAAGGGGTTTGGGGGAGCGAGACTTCGAGAGAGCCTGATACTCAGGCAAAGTAGAGTATTGATTGTCGACATTTCCCGTTCAATGGTCAAAATATCAATGAACTCCCCAATGTTGTGGTTAGACATTAAGAAGTGAATTAGCAATAATAATAAATGTGTAATTTGACAATAATACCATAACTAATACAGCCTTACCATAATGAATTGGGAGTCGGAACTGAATAAATCCTCCTTACAGTCACTGTACGTCTTCTAAGATCACGACTTAGTGGATCAACTCTTGAAATAGACTCCCTTATTCTCCATCTCTGTACATGGATACCCCTCCCTCTGAACCAGCCAATGATCATTCTCTCACCTGAGTTTGGTGAGACTTGTAAAATGAATTTCATGAATTCATCAAGTTCAATATCTGAAATTTCCGAAAATAAATCTGTAGAAGAAGACATGTTGTATTCTTCCWTTCTTCTTCTTACTGTTCTTTCCGACACGTTAAGCATTTTTGCAATTGCAACCCATAAAAATCCTAAAGAACGGAAACCTTCCAGCTGTTCCTCCGGAATCAAAACCTTGGGCGTCCTTGAATGTTTGTATCTTGAGGTTCATTTGGGCAGCAATAATTTGCTCCATCGTCAGTAAAATTGTTAAAACGTTCTTCGAGACGAGTTATCAGTTTTTGAAATTCTATGACAACAAAGTGAATGTTACTCGTTAAGTCGAAATACTCCTCGACATATCTTGAGGAAATAAGGAAGGCAACAATAAACTCAACACAACGGTTTCTAAAAATTTCGGCGGTCACGCAGTCTAAACTGAATATTTTTTTCTGTACTTCTTGGTAAATATCTATTCCAACTCTTGCAACTGTAGAAAATATTTCAATATTCTCGTCCGCCATTTTGGACTAATAAAAGGAGCCTTCAGGACATTAATCCAGCGGATGAATGCGACTGCTGACCGCAAGATCGCGGGCTMAGTATTATTTTCGAAACAATCATAGTTTTGCAACAAGTCTTATATTTCACGCAACGAGTAGTATTTCTTCAACAAGTCGTATCTTTGTGCAACAAGTATTGTATTTTTGAAAACAAAGTGAATTTCTTCAACTAGTCGTATTTTGCAAAACAAGTCGTATATTTCCATAAGAAGTCTTATTTATTTGCAGCAACTCTTAAATACTAAGAAACAAGTATTTTTGTCCGCATTGGCGCGCCATACTTACTTACGAGTACTTGCAGTACACTGCGCAACAAGACACAAATYTAAGATAGAGGTTCTTGAACAATTTGGTCATCCCTCAAATACAGTGTYAACCCGGATATATTCTCTTGCTGTGAAACCACTTGTCTCTTGACATTTAAGACCATAGAAGAAGCAGGAGAACATATGGACACAGAAAAGCATGTGCAAAAAGTACGATGTAGCGTAAAAAAGGGATGGTCAGAAAATTATCTGAAATGAACGTTGGAGCGCCTGAAAGTGAGGAAATTCCTGTAGCATAAGCCAAATCTGCAAGCACTGAGGTCAACATTTCCACTGAAGGCTGGGCCTTTTATGAAAAGTCTACCATGAAAAGCTTATAAATGGGGGAAAAGCGAAAGCCTTTCTTATAGAAAAGTTCAACTTAGCGGCTCATCAGGCTTTAAAGCTGACCCTGCACAAGTTGCCAAGGAAATGAAAGTAATCAGAGATGAGATAGGCAACCTTAGTTTTCCCTTGTGGATTGGCGTAGGGCTAACGAAATTACAAGTTTCTTGTCCCGCATGGCTGCACTGCCGAGGCAATAGCCTCGGCATCGAAATGAAGTACCATTTCCGGGCCACCCGGACAGCTCGGGGTTTTTTTCCGGACCTTTCCGGGCCTTTCCGGACAAGCTGACCCTGCACAAGTTGCCAAGGAAATGAAAGTAATCAGAGATGAGATAGGCAACCTTAGTTTTCCCTTGTGGATTGGCGTAGGGCTAACGAAATTACAAGTTTCTTGTCCCGCATGGCTGCACTGCCGAGGCAATAGCCTCGGCATCGAAATGAAGTAGAAGCTCTTGATGATGATAATCTTGATGCTCTGGACGAAGAAATATGCATACAGGCACTACATGAAGCTGTTCCAGAAGACATCGATTCATTGTTTCACCCTATTATTGGAATGGGGTCGGTGTCACTCTGAAGAAAGCTTCTGGAAAACCCAAGCATCACACAGCTTCAAAGAATTTGCACTACACTAAGTCTTGACAAGAGTGGTCACAAGAACAGAAAGGACACTTTCATTCAGCCTCTTACTGCAGTTATGCAAGCAAATGTTCTTGTTGTTCATAGTCATGTAAATAAACAATGACCTTACCTTGGTTTTTGAGGATATTTCTCCATACGAGATACCTGTGTATATTGGCCGTTTTAAAGACAGAAGTCAGCGAGCACATAAAGAATCGTGATAGCCAGTAAAAACGCATAACAAACCTGGCCTAACAATGGCCTAACAATGATTGGATGAATAAATGTCAACCCCATGGATCAAAAGACGTTTTACGAGTGATGAAAATTTTTACATATTTACATTTATTATTCATACTGTACATTTAGTCTAAACAAAGAACGCTCTTTGAGTAAAATCAGCATGGATCTGGATATATTTAGAAAATAAGTTAAGGTTAGTTCTGAAAAGTTAGTTTTAATATGATGTGATGAAAATATAAGATGTAGCCGAAGCCGCTAAGTGTGTAGATCGAGTTTACAACAAAAATATGATTCCGAGCTTTCGCTGTCTACAGCATCATCAGGGAATGGGCGAGATAGAATAAACACGTAAAATATAAGGCGAAGCGATCAAGCGTATAGATGGATAGTCAAAGGGCGAACAAA